CTCATCATTTCAGGTAGTCTGGCTAGCCAGCTTCTTCCAACAATTCCTTGTCTCTGCCTCTGATATACCGGCAACTGGGATTCCAGGTGGGCCACACAGCCACCAGGCTTTTACATGGGTTCTGGGATCCAAGCTCCAGTTCTCATACTTGTGAAGTAAGCACTTTACCTGCTGAGCCATCTCCCCAGCCCCTTATGTATCCTTACTCCTACCTGCCTTCTCTTGCAACTCTTTTTAAAATATTTTATTATTTTTATTTTATGTGTATGAGTATATTGCCTGCGTGTATGTAAGTGCATCCACGTCCTGCAGTGCCCATACTGGACCCCCTGGAACTGGAGTTACAAATGGCTGTTTGCTGCCATGTGGGTACCAGGAATCCAATCTGGGTCCTCTGCAAAAGCAGCTGGTGCTCTTAACCAATAAGCCAACTCTCCAGCCCTCAACTCTTTCGTACAAGACAATCTGAAGCCTTTCTATACTTGCTCTAAATCAAATGGCTGAGAAGCAATAGAAACTTTTTGGCCCTACTAAAGAAAGACATCAATACATTTCCCAAGATGTATGGAACTGAAAATATATAAAGAGATAGCTGTCAGAAGAACTGCCATTCCAATCAGTCCCAGTCATTATTCCAACTTATTCAAACCTGAAATGAATTTTGCATCTAATAGACTAGCTACTCTAAGAGCTTGGTTATCTGATCAAAGCCCCTCCAAAGTGCTCTCCCTACTAACTGAAAACTGCTGAAAATGCAAAGGCTAAGAATAAGATGAAGAATTCAGAGGAATATGATATATGGGAGAGGAATGATACAGAAAAGGAATAGCTGTTGGTATAGGTATATCATCACTCCTTGTTGGCGGCAGATACTCTGCAGGGGCAGGTGATGGTAGGAAGTGGGAAAGAAGGAATCTATATTTACTCTAATTTACCAACAATTGTGGGAATGACTTTTATTAATGGACATAATCTGGACTAATAACTTTTAATTAACCCCAGATAAACCATGTGCTCTTGGGCTTGATAACAGGCATCTCCTTGGCATCCTCAGTTTGTTAACTCACCCAAAAAAGATAATACATGAATGTGGGTATGCTTGAGAGTGAACATATCAAAACGCTGCAAACAGAGCACATACTTATCTCCAGTGGACACAGGGAAGCTGGGAAGGACATGTGACCTAGGATGAATATGAACTAGGGATGAAAAGACCTGATGGTCTGTGAAGTTTAAGGATAGAGCTGAACTTGAACCTGTACTTCCCCAAAGAAGCTGAAGAAACCATTATGAATAAATTATGATTAAACCATTATGAATCAATAAATAAATAACCATATTTTATAAATAAATTTATAAAATAAAGGCATGTGGCCTGACAAGGGACATAGTAGGAGAAAGAGGGTTCCAGAGATACCTCCATCTGCATAGGTTGAGGGGGCAAGAGAGCTCCATCAGCACAGTCTTGAGAGACAGATGATTAGGGAACTCCTGTCCTCCTCTGAGTTAAGGCCCACTATTAAAAACTTAATTTAAGAGTCAGTCTATTTGTTCAGGTGATTATGATGTTGGCACAATAATAAATGTCCCATTACCAATCACTGATAATGCTGCTGAAATGTTGAAGTTGCTTGGTTGCTCAAAAGGCATTCTTTAAAGTACAAACAACCCAAATTGCCCCTTACTGATGAACATATTAAAAAAAATGTGATATATTCATCCACTGACATTATTCAGGAAAAAAAAAAAGTAATGGAGTGCTCATATATACTACAGCATTGATGAACGTTGAAAACATTATGCTGAGTGGGAGCAGCCAGACTCAAAAGGTTACATATTGCCTGTTTCCCTTTATCCAGGATAGGCAAATCACAGAGATGAAAGTAAATTAGTGGTTACCAAGGCTGAAAGAAGTGATTGCAAAAGGCCTAAGGGCTTCTTCTGAGGGCAATGAAAATACTTTGGAATCAGAGGTGCAGTCTTTGAATACACTAAAAAAACCACTGTAAAGTACAATTTAAAATGATGAATTTTATGGCATATGAATTATACACCATTTCTGGAAGAAAAAAAATTGCATTCTTTAATTCATCATTCCTACTATCCCTGAAGTCTCTCAAGTGCTCTACAGAAGGCCTGCTTCTTAGGACTCCCACTATGCTATCCTTCAGTTTGTCTTCTTTATGATGAAGTGACTGTTAAGAAAGACTTACAGTCTTGCATATAAGGGGTGTGTGTAAAATCTGAACGTCTGGTGTCATCTCTGGTCACTCAAGGCAGTCTACAAAGTTTCCAAGAAAGTTTGTTCATCTTGGAGTAAATAGAAGATGCCAGGGTATTGTTGAAAGGGCAAGTCTTGCTAAGCTGATGCTTTGTCTACTAAATGACAAACTGCAACACACAATTCTGAGCATTAGGCTAGAACATTTTGAAGATGAACAATTAATTCTCATCGCCATTCAATTCATAATACAGAAGCTGTGCTCAAATGCAAAATGGCAAATGGTGCTGAAGAACCAATAATCAGGTCTGGGGATACAGCTCAGTTATAGACATCTGTATATTACACATCTGTAATCCCAAAACTTCTAAGATGAGATGGGAGATGGAGACAGGAGAATCCCCAGAAGCCGACGGGCCAGCTAACCTGGAGTACGCAGTGCAAACAAGAGACCGTCTCAAAGATGGAAGGCAGGACTGAGGTTGTCATATGACCTCCACACAGGTACCATGACAAGTGCTCCCATACTTACATACGAACACGCACACACAATCATGACAATTTTTTTTTTATAGAGAACCAATAGTTGGTCATTTAAAATAATTAGTTCTGATTTTAAATATCTTCCTTGAAAAGTTTTTGTTAACACCATTACCTATGCCACCAGTGGGTTATGGTAGAAATCCTTTGGCACACAAAATATAACATTCCCCTACAAGTCTGAAGGACAGTGAATACTAACTCACTTAATATGCTACTATTGACTCTAGATTGCTATCTTAAACTCACTTGGCATCATCAAATTGTCTGTTTCTGACTTTATTCTAGAAAGAATGCTTACTAGAAGAAAACTGGTTATTCAGGGCTTTCAGTTTATGAACATAAGATATCTACTCCTAAATAATGTTTTAAGAAGAAATGGTAATTTCTCAGAGAGTGATCAGCATGTTACTTTGGTCACACCACACACAGAATACCATAAGTAGGTGTAAAAACATCAGGTAGATGAACATCAGAGTTTAAGTTTGAATAGCATTCTGAGACACAGAAACGGCTTGGCTTAAAGACAGAATTTTAGGAAGAAGCAACACAAGTGTGGCACTGTCCGGTTATTTTGGTTTGGTTTTGTTGCTTTGATGAGACAGGGCCTTGCTATGTTGCTTAGGCTGGTCTCAAACTCATGACCCTCCTCCCATAACCTTCTGAGTGCTGAGATCACAGTATGTGCCATCATGCCTAGTTCTGTGGACTTTTAAAAAGGAAATCAAAAGAAGCCATGGAAGGAGGATCTGAGTGGGCAGAACCCGTGAACTTCAGACAACAAATGTGGACTACTGGTTCTTGGGTTCTCCATCAGCTCAAGTTCATACTTTTGAAAATGGAATCCCTAGATTCAGCATAGATAATCACAATTACCTAACACATCACTATTTAGCATATTCAAGATTATGCATAGGAGGAGATATATAAGTAAGATATTCAGGTAAAATAAATGATAAAAATGGTATCATTTATAAACAAAACTATACACTTGAACTCGTCATTATATATTAGCAGGACGGAGATTAACACATGAAATAGTAGGTAAGAAGTTGCATCTATAATGAACCTGCCTCTTAGATGGTGTATAACCCATATCTGAAAATTACGCAGCTTTAGCCACCATGATGTTAATCCAAATTTAAGGAAAATATGGTAAATCTAACATCCTTCAATAGTTCAAAGACCTAATTTTGGTCAATATGTAATTTTTCCATTCGTGATTTACCAAAATTATCAATAAAAATAAAAATTGATGAGTAAAGTTTCATTTTCTACCCATTATCATTTGGGAACTTTAAAACAGAAAGGTAGTAGGGCCAGGCACAGTGTTACATACCTTTAATCCCAGCCCTCAGGAGGCAGAGGCAGTCAGATCTCAGTGAGTTTGAGGCCAGCCTGGTCTACAAAGAGAGTTCCAAGACAGCCAGGGCTTCACATTTTTTTAAAAAAAAAAAAAAAAAAAAAAAAAAAAAAAAAAGTAGTAGGGAAATAAGCCTAGAAAATTCACAAATTAGATGATACTAAATAATCAAGAGTGCATATGTACATACTATATAAAGACCAATGAACATGCACCTCTAAAATATCTTAAAGAGATATCCTCCACTATAAGTGATGCCTGTGATATTTTCAAATGTGATTTCTCAAAATAGTGAGGAAACCTTTATTCTCAGAGCCTAGCCTCTACATTTTCTTGGACACAATGCTCTTCAGTGTCATTAAAAAGCACACCATGGGGCTGGAGAGATGGCTCAGTGGTTAAGACAACTCCCTGGCTGCTCTTGCAGAGGATCCGGAATCAGTTCCCAGTCCCAGCTAACAACCGCGTATAACTCCAGTTCCAGAGGATCTGACACCCTCTTCTGACCTCTGCGGGCACTGCACAACATGGGTGCACTTATATACATGCAGGCAAAACATTCACACACATAAAATGATTTTTTAAAAAAGCACATCATCTCCTTGCAATGCCTTCCTATGGCAGGCATCTGAGCAGCTAAGAGGTCCCTAACAACTCCTAAAGAACTTTCACCCTATTATAATCTAATTCTTAGGAAAACCTAATACTTTGAAAATTAATTATAAATCCACTGGTAAGGACAATCTGGGCAAATAAATGGGAAAGTTTGTGAACTGCCTTTATTTCTGCTTCTCTGAAAAGAATATTGTCTAAGGCCTAACTAACAGGAGAAAACAATTAGTACCTTTTGTTATGTGACAATTAAAGACTAAATACCTTAGCTGCTTCAAGAACTCCACATCAGAGTTGCTGTTGATAAGCTTGATGAACTCTTCATAAGAAGGAGAGTATGTGTAGGCTCTCTTGTGATGTTCATTCATCTGCTCTCTGTACTCCAATTGAGTGAGCAGCATCTGGTTAATGTAATCTGGGTTACTCAGTAATTCCACTACTGGCTTCAAGACTAGGGGGAAAGAAAAGAAAGCACCACTGAAAAATATACTCCTCTGGGCTGGAGAGATGGCTCAGTGGTTAGGAGCACTGTGCTAGATAGCTTTAGTGTCAACTTCACACACCTGGGTTAAGGGAGCCTCTATTGGGGAATTGCCTCCATTGGACTGGCCTGTGGCCAGGTCTGTGGGGCATCTTCTTGATTACTGAGTGATGTGGGAGGGCCCAGCCCACTGTGGGTGGTGCCACCCCTGAGCCGATGGCTCTGTATTGTATAAGAAAGCAGGCTGAACACCGGCCACAGGAGCAAGCCAGTAAGCAGCATTCCTCCATGGCCTGTGCTCCAGCTCCTGCCTCCAGGTTCCTGCCCTGAGTTCCTACCTTGGGCTCCTGGATGAACTGTGACCCAGGAGATGTAAACTGAATAAAGCCTTTCTTCTCCAAGTTGGTATTGGTCAGAGTGTTTTGTCACAGCAATGGAGGAATAAACTAGAGCAAGCACTAACTCCTCTTGCAGAGGACCCAGGTTCTATCCCCAACACCCACACAGTGGCTAACAACCATCTGTACCTCCAGTTCCAGGGGATCCAACACCCTCTTCTGACCTCCTCAGGCATTACACAACACAGGTGCGCCTACCTACATGCAGGCATTACACTTATACACATAAAACGAAAATACTAAATAAAATATTTAATATATATTATATTCTCTTTTTAAGGGAATGGTTTCCAAACCACCTAATTAAAAACATATTTGAGAAACATTTATCAACTAGTTAAATGGGAGAAATTATAAACAATTCAAGAAATTTTAAATGCATGCATGTAGTGTGAATACAGACACACACACAACTACCTATACATCTGTATAAGTTAATGTATGATAATCAAATGCTTGTTTTAATAAAGAATGGAAAGAAGTCATTTCAAATTCAAGCTGCTAACAAAACTATCAAAATTAAGTACACTGATTTCTTGTTTTATAAGACTCATTATGTTTTGACTAATTTATTCTACTAAAAGATGAACATCAAGTGTTCAAAGCAGACTTCAGGGAGGAAGTAGTATAAGACAAGAACACTATTACAAATCTACCCTACTAACTTTAAATTTAAAAGTCCCCTTGCTTTTTTCTTGTGGTTATTTATAATATCAGTTGATGGGCACAGCTGGCTAATCCTGAGATAAACAAAATCTTTAATCAGTTCATCTCTTATTTGACATTCTTAGGTAGGGAAAGTTTCTCTTAGGTTCTCTCTCTCTCTCTCTCTCTCTCTCTCTCCTCTGCATGTGTGTGTGTGTGTACTGCATGTATGTGTGTATGTGTGGAGAACAGAGGTCAGCATTCAGTGTCCTCTATCACTTTCCACCTTAGTTTTGGAGACAGGGTCTCTCACTGAAGCTGTGGTTCACTGCTTTGACTAGACTGGCTAGTGAGCCTCTGAAATCTGCCTATCTCTATGCCTCAGGACTCTAGTTACACACGCCTGCTGACACACCTGGCTTTTACAGGGTGGTGAGGATCCAAACTCAGGTCCTTATGCTTGCAGAGCAAGAATTTTACCACTAAGCCATCTCTCTGCTCCTCTTCTGTTTTTCTTAACCTGGTTAAATATTTATACAAATAGCTTATAGCTTTTTTTAAGTTTCTTTTTATGTAGTTGTATAGAAATTTTTTTCTTTATTTCAAGTTCACAAAAGTATGTATGGACATTACCAATAAATCTTATAAGAAAAAATATTTTAAGTAAATGCTAATCAGTTTGTGTGCATATATGGGTATTCTTTCCTTAACCAATAGCAGAATGGACTGTGCATTTGGCAATATGATATATAAACTTTTTTAAAACATTATTTATTTAATAACCACATAATTAGAAGAAGCATTTCATTACAACAGCACTGACATATTCAGTAAGAATTTC